GTCGACCCATGCGCATGCGCCTGTGTTGGGGCCAAGAGGCACCCAGCTGGCGAGCGTGCACGCAATGGCGGCCCGACGGCGCGTGCCCAAGAGGAATGCAGGTGGCATCCACGTCTTGCTTGCGTCAGCTGCAGGAAAAGTTGAGCCATCCTGGCTGCTGGTAGACACGCACTTGCAACGGGGCTAGCTCCCCATGCCCACGTACAGTGACACGAAGGCAGAGGTAGCCTTTCTCCGGTCACAGGAGTCCGTGCTGTTATGGCTGGCAGGCACAGAGCCTGACGCGGTGGCAGGCCAGGGGCAAAGGCATTCAGTCGACCCATGCGCCCTTTGTTGGGGCCAAGAGGCACCCAGCTGACGAGCGTCAACAGTAGCGCTAGAACGGCTCGCTGCACTAGGAATTTGACCATCACGTTTCGGAGCCGGACCCCACCGCAAGGTTTGCTCCATGGCATAGATGCTACCACCTCCACAACTATGAGTCCCGCTGCTGGGACACAGCTAAGCCGGAGTGCTTACTACTTACTACTACTACTACTACTACTACTACTACTACTACTACTACTACTACTACTACTACTACTACTACTACTACTACTACTACTCTACTACTCTACTGCTACTGCTGCTACTGCTACTGCTACTGCTACTGCTACTGCTAATGCTACTGCTACTACTGCTGCTACTACTACTACTACTACTACTACTACTACTACTACTACTACTACTACTACTACTACTACTACTACTACTACTACTACTACTACTACTACTACTACTACTACTACTACTACTACTACTACTGCTACTACTACAACTCTACTGCTTCTACGTACTGCTACTACTACCACCATCACCACCACTGCTACTAGTAGTACTGCTACTACGCTTACTCCTACTCCGACTACTACTACTACTACTACTACTACTACTACTACTACTACTACTACTACTACTACTACTACTACTACTGCTACTACGACTTCTACTTCTACTTCTACTTCTACTTCTACTTCTACTACTACTACTGCCACTACTGCTACTGCTACTGCTACTGCTACTGCTACTGCTACTGCTACTGCTACTACATGTGCTTCAACAACAACTACTACTACTACTACTACTACTACTAGGAGGAAATCTTGCACCACCTACATCCACTGTCTTGGGTACACATCCACGCAACAACCCCGCACCACCATTTTCATATTGACGACAGATCTCTTAGTGATCTCTTGGGGCGGTGGAAGATTTATGTCGTCGGAACGATCTAGTAAAACCCCGTGTTCATAGCCATATTGATGACACATCTCTTGGGGCGGTGCCAGATTTATATTTGTCAGCGGAACGATTTAACAAAACCTTGTGTTCATAGCAATGTTAAGCAACGGGCGCGGGGTGACTCTACATAGCATTTCTTAAAAGCGGTGCAAGATTTCCTCCATCCGCATTGCTAGTACTACGGCTGCCACTACTACTACTACTACTACTACTACTACTACTACTACTACTACTACTACTACTACTACTACCACTACTGTTACTGCTACTGCTAAGCACCTGGGCTCGAACGAAGACAGTTAGTGTGTGTGTGTGTGTGTGTGTGTGTGCTCGTAGACGTAGGCTGCAGGATGGTGCAGCTCCTACACCTTCTTTTCCTCCTGGCCTGCCTCTCCCTCACTCCTCCCCAGAATCCGCAAGCATCTGGGTCCAAATCTCCGTGCTCGACAGCACTGCCCTGGACCAAGCGGCGCGAGCCTCAGCCTGTGTCGATGCACCACGTATGGCACAGCAGTTGGACGCTGCCCTGCCTCTCCGACACTCCTGTTCACGTCTGCAGGCTCAAGCTGACATCTAGTCCTGTTACCCGGGCCCCGGCTGCACACCAAGGATCTGCCGAGTCATGGCCCAGTCACCCTCAGACCGACCTGCTGCTTCATCCGGATCGCCTCCGCTCTCGGAGCACCACAGCCTCAATGAGACGCTGGCCAGTCTGCACAGGACCCTGGACGACTCGATTGCAAGAGAACGCTACCGTGCCGGCCTCCACAACCAGGTCTGGAATACCAATAACTGGGAACGTATTGCTCAGGCACAGGCACCCGACCCCAAGGCTCCCCGGATTCGATTGAGACAGCGGATCTTCTGGCAGCGGCAGACGAGGCGGAAAGGGCGTATGCCTCCTTGGCCTCACTGGCTGAGCTCCCTACGGGATCCACAGCCTCACTTGGCCCTAGAGCGACATCACGATCTCGCTCTCCTAAGGGCGTGCCGGCTCCTGCCTCTACTTCGCCGACCTCCAAGGAGCCCGTATCAAAGCCCTGAGGAAGCACGCCTTGACAACAAGGTCCAACAGACTAGCACGGGACAGCGCCCGGCCAAAACCCTCCGTCTGCCACCCTAGCCTCCTAGGAACCCCTCCCTGCCTGACCTTCCCCTGCACTCGCTCAGGTGGCTCCGTCGTGCAGCCCGCTACTCACGCGAAGACCTGTGTCAGCTG